TCAAGTTGGTTCTGCATTTGAAAAGAGAGGGAGGGTGTTGCCTTTTTTTGCGTCAAGTTGGTTCTGCATTTGAAAAGAGAGGGAGGTGTTGCCTTTTTGTGTCAAGTTGGTTCTGCATTTGAAAAGAGGGAGGGTGTTGCCTTTTTTTGCGTGTTGGTTCTGCATTTGAAAAGAGGGAGGTGTTGCCTTTTTTTGTGTCAAGTTGGTTCTGCATTTGAAAAGAGAGGGAGGGTGTTGCCTTTTTTGCGTCAAGTTGGTTCTGCATTTGAAAAGAGAGGGAGGGTGTTGCCTTTTTTGTGTCAAGTTGGTTCTGCATTTGAAAAGAGAGGGAGGGTGTTGCCTTTTTTGCGTCAAGTTGGTTCTGCATTTGAAAAGAGAGGAGGGTGTTGCCTTTTTTTGTGTCAAGTTGGTTCTGCATTTGAAAAGAGAGGGAGGGTGTTGCCTTTTTTGTTCAAGTTGGTTCTGCATTTGAAAAGAGAGGGAGGGTGTTGCCTTTTTTTGCGTCAAGTTGGTTCTGCATTTGAAAAGAGAGGGGGGGTGTTGCCTTTTTTTGCGTCAAGTTGGTTCTGCATTTGAAAAGAGAGGGAGGGTGTTGCCTTTTTTTGCGTCAAGTTGGTTCTGCATTTGAAAAGAGAGGGAGGGTGTTGCCTTTTTTTGCGTCAAGTTGGTTCTGCATTTGAAAAGAGAGGGAGGTGTTGCCTTTTTTGCTTCAAGTTGGTTCTGCATTTGAAAAGAGAGGGAGGGTGTTGCCTTTTGTGTCAAGTTGGTTCTGCATTTGAAAAGAGAGGGAGGGTGTTGCCTTTTTTTGCGTCAAGTTGGTTCTGCTTTTGAAAAGAGAGGGAGGGTGTTGCCTTTTTTTGGTCAAGTTGGTTCTGCATTTGAAAAGAGAGGGAGGTGTTGCCTTTTTTTGCGTCAAGTTGGTTCTGCTTTTGAAAAGAGGGAGGTGTTGCCTTTTTTTGCGTCAAGTTGGTTCTGCATTTGAAAAGAGAGGGAGGTGTTGCCTTTTTTTGCGTCAAGTTGGTTCTGCATTTGAAAAGAGAGGGATGGTGTTGCCTTTTTTTGCGTCAAGTTGGTTCTGCATTTGAAAAGAGAGGGAGGGTGTTGCCTTTTTTGCGTCAAGTTGGTTCTGCATTTGAAAAGAGAGGGATGGTGTTGCCTTTTTTGCGTCAAGTTGGTTCTGCATTTGAAAAGAGAGGGATGGTGTTGCCTTTTTTTGCGTCAAGTTGGTTCTGCATTTGAAAAGAGAGGGAGGGTGTTGCCTTTTTTGTGTCAAGTTGGTTCTGCATTTGAAAAGAGAGGGAGGGTGTTGCCTTTTTTTGCGTCAAGTTGGTTCTGCATTTGAAAAGAGAGGGAGGGTGTTGCCTTTTTTTGTTTTAAGTTGGTTCTGCATTTGAAAGAGATGTTGCCTTTTTTGTGTCAAGTTGGTTCTGCATTGAAAGAGGGAGAGTTGGTTCTGCATTTGAAAAGAGAGGGAGGGTGTTGCCTTTTTTGTGTCAAGTTGGTTCTGCATTGAGGGAGAGAGAGAGAGAGAGGAAGGGCTGACTACCTTTTGTTTTTCGTTTTTTTCTGTTTATCTGTTGTACAAACACTAGTTCTCAGTATAATTAACTATTGCCCAAACATATGAGGTACAACAAACAAAGGTCAAATTCAGAAAATTAAAAAATTACAAAACTTTGCTGCCAGGGTAGCACTTGGGAACGTAAAAAAGTATGACCACATTACCCCACACATAAACAAAGTTAGCTAAAAGTACAACACAAATGCAACTATGATGCATACTAATCCATAAAATGACCTGTTTTTATCCAAAACGGCTTTTAACCTTTCCAACTGTAGCTAACACAACCTGTGTCCAACAAGACAGGTTAACGTCAAAAGATCACGTACAGACATAGGGGCACGACAGACACTAACACGTGGACCCATGATATGGATGCAACTACAGTGTAATATAAGAAACATTCAGAAAATACATTCAAAGAGAATTTAAAGAAACATCTATTAAATCACCAATGACATCAGGTTTCTAAAGTTAAGAATAGATAAGATTTATATGTACTACCACTGATTCTATGTTTAACTTATATTTATTTGTACTGTAATATTACGATGTACATAATAAGAATAAATATACATATACAAAGAGAAAGATAGATAAATAGATAGATTATTAGATATACATGCATATATATACATGTATCTGGCAAAAATATTTTCAAAACCGTTCAAATGCATCTCTTGTATTATGTATTTGAACGGTTTCGAATATATGTCAGATGCATGTATTTCTGACGAAGATATAATGGAAACCGGTCAAATACATCTCTTGTATTGTGAAGATATTCGTTCTCATTCAAACCTTTTCTACATTTTTTTTTTTTTTTTTTTTTTTTTTTTTTTTGTTATTTGTCGCTACTGTGACCTTTACGTATTTGCTGTTTTTTCTTTATTTTATGAATGGACTTGCTGGAATTATGTATTTTGTCGTCCCTTATTTTCAATTTTATCTCGTAATTGGTCTAATCTTTGGATGTAAATATACGTCTGTTTATTTATGTGCACCTGTTCTAATATCTGTGTATTCAAGCATCTGTTTATTCAGTTGGTTTTATCAGTGTGAATAACTATTTTTCTGTTTATCTATCTGCGTGTGTCTTTATTGATTTTATCTGTGTATACGGCTATTTTTCTTGTCATTTATTTGCGCGTTTTTTTATTGATCTATCTGCACATGTTTTAATTAGTTGTATCTGTGTATACAAGTATCCGCTTATTTATCTATCTGCATCATTCATCTCTAATAACACAGCGAACAGCAGATGTCAAGGAAATCTAGTGCTATAAATAGACACAGGAGTAATGTTGAGCAACAGATCAACATATCTTGCAACGTAGCTGCAGACGACGCAGCCAACACGGCAATTAATGTTGTCATTGCTACTCAAAACACACAGTCGCTGAGCCTGCATATGTATTGGTCAAGTCTGTCGTCAACCTTATTAATAGCTCCAGAGACAATGTGTATCTCACTCGGTCTGGCACTTTTATAAATCTATTCATTTCGGTCATTATCATCAACATTAATCAGGTAAACTAAAAATATTATTATTATTATCATTATTATTATCATTATTATTTTCATTATCACTGTTATTAATGTTAGTATTATTATCATTATTTTATCATTATTAATACTATTATAATTACCATTATCATTCGTATTCTTATTCTTATTCTTATTACTATTCTTATTCTTATTCTTATTCTTATTCTTATTACTATTATTATTATCATTATAATTATCAGTATCAATATCATTATCATATAAACTAAAATCGAAATGATCATGACAATCCTTATCACGAACAAATATATCTGCCTTTATAACCACTCTAAAAACTCAACCGTTTCCAACTTTCACCTCAATCCGCCCACCTAACAACAACTGTCGAATTTGAGGTGATTCTTAAAACCTTCCTTTTACCATAATTATTTCTATTTTTTCGATATACTTTGCTCCTTACGGTGTAGTGGAAAATGCAGTTTCATTCTACAGCGTTTATTTACAGTAGATGTTTGTATTTTGAGTAACCGGAATATCCATTTGAAAATATATCTTAGCAGAATATTGCACGCGTTATATTTCTTGGCATCCGAAAAAAATACGAGTATCTTTTTTATTGTCTCTTATATCTATCCAGTAGTAGTATCCAGACTATGAATTATCGGATGATGATAGTAGAGAAACTATTTCGGTTCCTGTTTAATCGCGAGACTTGTCTACCTTCACTTGTTGTAAATGAAGCTGACCAGAACACAAGAAAACGTTCAGAGTGTTTCGTTTCCAAAGACGGCGAACGCTTGGCCTCGACCTGCGGCGTCATTTCCGTTATATAATTGCATTATCATCTCATTTTTGATTAGCTCTGACGTAATGACGCTTACGAATGACGTACTACGTTTAATTGCAATTTTAGGGTCATTTTGGGCGAATGGAAGAAAGACGAAAGTATCCGGGTTGAGAGCCAGCCCGCTCGGAGGTGTGTCTCCGGGCGGACCAATCACAGCGCGTCGGGGGCACATCACGCCTCTTTTCTCAGCCAATCACAGGCCGGAAACGAGATGACGACCTCAGGGTACAGGTTATGTGCACACGCCACTTAATAAAAAGAAATACGTGTTCTTAATCGTATATAGACTATTAAAAATATCTTTGTAATACGAAAACTGTAATAGAAAATTGTGTAATGTCTTATTCTAATTAAAAAATCCAATCTATTTCAGATTTCTCTTCAGGTATCTGTTACGTCACAGTTTTCAAGCGACGTTGCAGGTAGCTTTTTTTTTTTGCTATTATGTCTGCCATGATTACGCCCTGTGAGAGAAATATACAAAAGGCAGTTTGCCAAGAGGATGATGGATCTGCCTAAGGGGCACTGCGCATACCCCCCCCCCATGAGTATTTCAGAACTGTGCATTTCGCATTTTGAAAGCGATCCTAAATACAGTGTTTTTTTTTTTTTTTTTTTTTTTTAATTATCAAGCGGTCAGATTTGCTTGAGAACCAATGCGCCTTCGCGTTGAAGTTTGAAGTTCATGTTTGGAGAACGAATTATGACGTATGTGAAAATGCGAAGTTTGTAGTGGGTCGCACAGGCCCGGGGGGAAGGGGGGGGGGGGGGGGGGAAGGAGAGAGGCTGAGAGAGACATATGATTCGTGGGATAATAATATATTGCGAAAACAACATACAAATATACAAAAACGTGAAATAAAGCGGACAATAATATCGACGAAAAGAACGTTGAGTAATCCGAAAGAGACGAAAGAGAAATGAAGTAAAGGGAGGAAGGGGAGGCAGGAGGGGGGGAGAGAGGGGAGGGGAAAACGAGAGGGGAGGCAGAGAGGGGAGGAAAGGAGATGGAGACGGAAGGGGGGGGGGGGGGGAGGGGGAGGGGTCAAGCTTGGTGAAGCTGGCAGTCCCTCCCCGCGATCAGGTGGGCTCAGTCAGGTACGAGAGGCAGCAGCAGGAACACCTCCCCTGCCACAGACGCTTGGTGGTTCCTCGCCCGTGCCGTCAGGGTCACCGCGAACTCACGTCACTCTTATTGGTTTATCATCAACAAATTCCCTGAAGTGTTACTGCGGAGGGTAAATTCGTCATTTAAAAAAAAATAGCAATTCTATTTTCAAATTCTTAAAAAGAAAAATCTCTTAAAAAAAAACTGACTTAATAACTAACACACACAATTCAGGACACCCGAACCCCATAGCTCATACACGCACACACAAAGAAGAAAAAAAGGAAACAGAAAAAGAGAGAAAAAAGGAAGGACTCCCCAAGGACCCCGGTAGGAAACAAGAAGAGCCTTTGTGACAATGCGCGAGAGGGATTCGTGGGTAGTCCCCGCCTCCAACTACGCCAAGAACACCTTCAACCCCATCAGGAACATCGTCGAGAACCTGCAGATCGTTCCTCACCCGGAGAAGCCTATGATCGCCCTCTCGATCGGTAAGTGGAGGCGCGTCTGGAGTCGGGTCTGGGGGGCGCTTAGTGGCCGGGAAGTGCGACACACACACACACATATCTGTGTGTGTGTGTGTGTGTGTGTGTGTGTGTGTGTGTGTGTGTGTGTGTGTGTGTGTGTGTGTGTGTGTGTGTGTGTGTGTGTGTGTGTGTGTGTGTGTGTGTGTGTGTGTGTGTGTGTGTGTGTGTGTGTGTGTGTGTGTGTGTGTGTGTGTGTGTGTGTGTGTGTGTGTGTGTGTGTGTGTGTGTGTGTGTCTGTAAATATATGTATCTGTAAAATCATACAAAGCTGAAACGTACAGTCGAATTAATATTTCCTAATCATCCCCTGATCATTTCTATAAAAGAGTGAAGTAACACAAAGTCCGCATTACACTACGGATAAAAGGTAAAGGCTTAACCGGAAGTGATCGTTTCAATATATAAAGAAACATTAAACACAAGGGAACAGAATTATGTGAAAAATCATTTACACAAAAAAAAAAAAAAAAAAAAAATACACGTTATATAAAGTAAAACAACTAAAATGTCCACTAATTGTTTCTCGGATTAACTCTAAGGAAAATGTATGGCTTTTGTACTCTTGTTTAACATAAGGTGCTTTTTGTATTGTCAGTGAGTCTAAATTTAGCCTTTAAGGGTGTCGGAGGCAGTGTACAGAATTTTTAAATTTGTAACCCCCTCTCTCACCTCACACACACACC